TTCATCGAATCTTTATTTGCTATCATTGAACCAGTTACTCAAAGTGACTCTTAATGCCTTCCACCATGCTGGTGTATACAACAGAAATGCTAAGCTTGGTATCCCCTGTCTGAAAGAAATCATCAATGTTGCTACTTGGTATGACCCCAGCCCTACATCCACCATTATCAAAGACTCCATGTTTGTCAAAGCTTTCTTCACTATTGTTGAACCAGTCACTCAAATGACTCTTATACAACAGAAATGCTATGCTCAGTATCCCCTGTCTGAAAGAAATCATCAACATCGCCACAAATATCAAAATGCTTTCACTTTCTGTGGATTTGGTATGACCATGACCCTACATCCACCATTATCAAAGAAGACTCCATGTTCATCAAATCTTTCTTCACCATTCCAGATGAGGAAATCGAGTCAAAGCTCCACCTCCAGTCACCATGGCACCTTTGGCTGGCACTTGACCATGCCAGAAAGATTGATTGGAGTCTTGCTGTGGTTGCTGGCTGGATTTCTGGGAGCTTCAAGATGGACCTCTTCATCATCTGGAGCAAAGATAACTTGGAGAAACAGGCAGGGTACAGTCAAAGAAGACATCTTCCTCTGCCAATTCAAGAACACAACATTGAACTCGGTGTCACACACCAAAGGTGTTTGGTGAGGTGGACATGGATGTAGCTGATGAATGGAGGTGAAGACCATAGCCCTCATGCGAGGAAGGACAGCCAGCAATGTCGGCAGTCATCCCTCGCACAAGAACAAGTTGTCAATGCCAAAGAAAAAGGAGGAGGCAAGTTAAGCACCAATAAAATTCTTAAGTGCCCGTGTATGGCATTCCGGTTTTTGACATATCTCCACCAATTCTGCAGACACCGAAACCATTCCCACACTCGCTTGTAGTGCTCAGCCATGCGATCCTACCTTCCAAGATTGCAAAGGATTTGTGCACTCCACATGTTTCTACAGCACTCCCTCCAAAAGACGCTCATTTCGCTAATTCTTCTGATATGGCTGCCTCCACATCAGTCATTTCGCTTGTCCCCTGTGCTAGGGACCATGGCTACATATATCTACCAGGAGTTCCTACCAGCTTCCATCCTGAAGCATCCTGGTACATCCCACCCTCATCTGCCCCCTCTCAGCCCATCCAGCTTGGACAGTGTGTTCTTTTTGTCAGTATGGCCTCCAGGAGGATGTTCTTTGGTTGCCTCAGGTCTGTCATTCACTTGGAAAGGTCTTATGTGGTCGTTTCAGTCTCTCCAGTCCAAGAAGCATATGGATCCTTCCTCCCTGCCCCCTGCAACATCTTCATACCAGTCTCGTCCATCATTCTTCCAAAATTGCGACAGCTACAGTATAATCTACTGTTCTCCACTCTCCCTGATCGCATCCATGATGAGTATGATGCACATCTTGCCTCCTTGTTGCAAGATACAGCAGAAGATGCTCCCCCTTCATCCTCTCTTCCAACAGAGCCTTGTTCATGAAGTTTTTATTTGCTTCACTGAGAGGATGGTTTGGGGGGGAAAGTTGCAATCCCCTATGCTCCTGTCACCCCACAGACCCCCAAAGCTTGACCCCTGTTGACATCTGACTCACCCTGTCTGCTTTCAGATGTACTATATTGGCATCAGATCAGTGCTGCCTCTCTGTCATCCCACTTTGGCCTAGAAGTGATCTCTTCGAGATGTGACATGCACAGCCTCCCCCTGATGTGATTCCAGTGCACTTTCCCAGTTCCTGACATTGCTTTACTCATACTGTGACATTCTGACTGTCTTTGACTCACCTATTGCCAATACTTACCAATCTTTTGACTTTGCTTACTGATTCTTTGCTTTTTGGCTTACTTATCCTTACCAATGCTTACCAATGCTTTCCAAGACGATTACCCATCACTTACATTCCTTACTCATCAGTTACCAATCACTTACCAAGTGTTTGCACCTTGTTTTCCATAGGCAATGCCCCTGTACTGTATATAAGTCACTGTACTTAGGTAGCAAAAAAAAAAAGAGACATCAGAGAGCCCCTCTTGCTTGCAATTTATCATCTCTCAGTAAATCATTCATCAGCTTCGATAGTTGAGACTTTATTAAGGGTCAAGCTATCATCTACTTCGCTTATCATCATCTATCATCCATATACTTCACTCCAAGCCCTCCCTGAGCTCAGTACAGCTTAGGACATCAAATTAAGTCACCATCCATCCTTCTGTAGGCTGACAGCAGTCTACCCTATCGCTTTCTATCACATTCTTGCTCCCTCTTTGTCAGGAGCACCCCCAACCCTCAGCACTCATCTTTGAGTGTTGTAGCTTGCAAAAACCCTCCAAAAGAACAGGTTCTACCATCTAGGTACTGCATAGGCACACCACCACTCGCTTTCATTGTCTTTTGTGTTGGTTTTGGTTAGTTTTCACCACTGAACCTCACTTTGACTCACATCGGTCAGCCTGCACAGTGTCCCTACCTCATATTTTTGTTGGAGTATGATGAGGGGAGCATCAAGACGAGAGGAGCAGGTTTTGGAGACTGACAGTGTCAACTTGAAAGTGGTGATCTGCCTTCCAGACATTGACTTTACTCACATGTACTTAAATGGCCAGTGCATTGAAGCTTCCAATGCACTCGGGATTGCAGTTGCACATGCAGTGATCATGAAGAAAGTGCAAGGAGTCATTGACTTTGGTGGTTTGTACATGAACTACTGCCACTTTTCATTGTTCTGCAACCTCATGACCCATTGTAGAACACCCATGGCAATTGCTCCTCATGGTATTGACCATGCTGACACCAGCACCCTGGTGTCACTCATTGGAGGAGAAACAGTGGGGATTTCGATGGAAGCCACTGGGTGTCACTGACTTGATGGGGTGAGGGGTATTCATAACTATGCATATGATGTATTACTAGCATTATATTAATTACTGTTCCAGTTTTGTTGTCACACTCCTGTGCACATTGGTTGTTGAGGGCTTTGCACTGAATATGATGTCACCACATTGATTCTGAAAGAAATAGTAGCTAGTTGACAGTGCAGCTACACTATGAACTGACTTTGTTTGCAACTCCCACACACCAGCTGGTTGGGTTCAGGCTGCTTGTGGAGGGAACAAACATCCTGTACATGCCATGGTCAGACAGAAGGCATCGATGACAAAGAGTGTTGCCTTGCCTAGCTCCCCTGACAAGAGAAAGAGGAGGGTGAAGGCATCTTCTCCATAAGAACAGCCCAGCCTACACACTGTTCATCAGATCAAAGAGGCCAGCAAACAAACTCACCTTCAAGCGGCCAAGACAAGGGCAACATACACCAGGCATGTCCACCAGGCACAGTTGTGGCTACAGAGCCACTTTCCAGTGGAGGGGATGCAGCTGTCTCCAAGTCTGAGTCATGTTGGCAGTGGGGACCTGAGCTCAGAAGTGTATGGTGATCCAGTCTTTAAGAATGCATTCAAGTGTGTGCCAAATCAGTGCTTGGACAAGGCCCTGGCCCTTTACCTTTCATGGAAGGGTTTCCAGGAGAACTGCAGTCAGAGTACAATTGACAGCATTCAAGCAGCATTTAAATTGATGTGGGATGAGGCATATGTCTCACATAACTCTGCCTTTGCCAGTGACTAAAACAGATGTTCCCAACAGTGGTGGTGGGACATTCCATGAGGCCTGGCATTACAATAGTGAATGCCAGCGGTGGGAGGGGAATCTGATGTGGGACACTACCTCTGGGTAGCATGCAAATAGGGGGAAAGCTGTAGGGAAATCCCTAGGCTTGACCCAAGGGGTGCTGAGTAGGAAGGAGACATATAATGCGATGGTAGAGACAGCTAGGAAGTCGAATGTAGGGTGCGGAAATTAGATCTGCAGGGCTGTGGATGATTTGGGTATGAATTGACTTGGTTACGAAATTCCGAGTGACGATCTTGAGGTGAAGAAGTAATTCCGAGACAAGTAAGACATGTGTTAGACACAGGGACACAAAGGAGGGGATGGACATGGGTGATGCAGATACACAGAGGACATGAAAGACACAGAAGACACTGATATGCAATAGCCACAGAGGGCACAGATGACTCTTTGAACACTTAGACTCGCAAATACACAGATTGTGACTCCAAAAAGATGGGTGGTATTTTTCTGTCATTGAGGTGGAATTATATAGTACATGGAGAGTAAGGTACTGATCAGAGAAATGTGGGGCAGGAGAAGCAAAACTCCAAAAAATAAAGGGGACGACATGTCAGACATCAAAGCCATACAGCAACATGTGAAAACAAACTGTAAGGTAGCAACTGAGAAAGACAACGGGAAAGACAGGTATCTTCCAACAGGATGAGTGTACACTGTACCATAGAGTGAAACATGAAGGGTAGAGGCCGTAGGTAGAAAGGGGTTCTCACATTGTGGAGAAAGGTTTGCAGGAAAGGAACAAGAGGGGTAACCAGAGTTTTTACTGATGATCTGTGTGGCTTCCCAGCTACATGGCGAGGCAAGGGTCAAGGCAACATGACTGTGGAATTCTGGATAGATGAATGTCAGGTTGATGTTGACACAGAATTTTGGGACAATGACTGATGTGCATTACTGATGGATAGGGAAGCTCCGAAGGTTCAACAGGTGAGGCAGCACACGAGGCAAATGGGATAATTCCAAAGATGACAGATGTGGATGGTAATGGCAGAATTTTGGTGTTGGCATCCCTATTTCAGCCTCAGGGAGTATACTACTCCCTACACCTCCCAGGGTCTTTGAATGCTGACTGTCCTTGGTCAGAGGTCATCAAGTTGTGACAGAAGGGCAGTGGAGATTTGGAAGGTGATGTAAATGATGGAGGCCCATGTTCGGTCACATGGCTTGTGTGAACAAAAACTCCACACCTGGATAATGTGTCAGCAGCAGCCCTTCAGAACTAAAAACTTGCCCAGAAATGTCTCATCATCAGATTCACCCTTGATAATCCACCACCTTGCTCTCAGATACCCACTACCCTCACCAACTACTATGCAAGCCTACTCCATCAACAACGCATGTCCTGTGTTCAGCATGAGGGACCAGGTGGCCACAGCACTTGCAGCCACTCTAGGGCATGTCTGGGACCTGATTGAGATGGTGCCACAGCCAGAGGAGAGGTTGGAGATGATCTACGTGTGGGTGGAGGACTGGGACAAGATTTGGGTGAGTAAACCTTCCACTGCAGTGTGTTGTGCGTTGACAGAGTTCTGCAGACCAGCATTTGCTCATGGTGGAAATACATCGATGACAACAGAATTACCATACCAAAGGTTTGCAACGAGTGTATGTGTGACTACACCAAGGAATCTGCGATGTGCCAGAACCTGTTAGTCCTGGGAGCCATTGCCATTGCTGACCTCTGACACCCAGTGGAGCAAAGACGAGTCCACATCAACAACATCTTCGAAGACTATCAGGAGAGGGTAGAGTTGAGGGCACAGCTTGAGGTGGAGAGGTTGACAAGGGAACCTTCTATGTGCACACACAGTCAGGCAGCAACAACAACAGGTGAAGGTCAAGGCTGCACGCCTGGTGACACTGAAGCAGGGGAGTCTTTGGGGGGGGCTGGATGACCAGTGAGGCAACAGATGGATAGTACAGGCAAGGGGAAGGGTAAGGAAAAGGTATGTCCTACCCTCCAGGAAACTCTGAGCATGATGGCTAATGTTCAGAAAAAAAAAAAACTCTGCAGGTCACAGATGAGGTCGATGAGCTGGAGAACAACGAAGGCAACCATCCACCTAACCCTGACCCATCGAAAGCTGGTGCTCCAGCACCTGAAGTCAACCTTCGATGCAGGGAGTGCATGAAGGTGAATGCAGTGTGCAAAGGGCTACCTGGGGAGTCATGCAAACAATGTAGGCAGGCCAAGTGGAAGTGTAGTCAGTCACTCAGAGTGGGTAGGAAGGTGAGTACGCGCTGATTGGGACAAGAAGAATGAGGACACTGAACTGTAACACAGTGCAAGAACACTGGAAGTGGAGGGACAGCTGCTGGGCTGTCGCATAAATGGACCAAGTCAGTAATGGTAATGATGATGACTGAAACTCCAGTGATGACTGGGCTGAAACTCCAGATCCCTGCTCACAAACCACCCCCCAGGCAAAACTCTGAACTGACTCCTGTACACCCAACACCTCGAGCAAGTCCCCCTTTGCTTTCTGACATGCCCCCACCTCCTGTACCTCAACCACTTCTGTTCCTTCCATCAGCAACCCCTGCACCTTGACCTCACCTTGAGCTAACTCCGCCACCAATGGACAATCCAGGAGACCTTGGTGACAGTGGACTTTTTGGCAACCAACTGGATTATTGGACGATCCACCTGCACCTGTCATCAGCACACAGGATGAGTCTGAAGGTCCTCCAGTTGAAGAAACTCCACAGATCACAAACCCGAGTGAATCGACTACACATGAGACTCTTGCTGAGTGCATCCAACTGTTGGAGGGTAGGGCAGATGATGAGGAGTTTGAGTTGACCCAGATCCACCAGATGCTGGGGCTGTTGGTGACACGAGTGGAGCAACAAATCAGTGCAGTTCAGGGGCGATGTGAGGAGCTGAAGAGGTTGAAGGATCAGCTCAAAGATATGTAGGTATGTGTACAGTAGTGTAAGTAGACTGCGGAATTTATTTGTTTTATTTTATTTTGTGAATCTTTTGGCATTTTGAACAGGATTATCGCTAAGAAGGGGGCAGGGAAAGAGAATGAATTGAGGAGAGACCAGAGATGAGCGATTTTTTTTTTGACTGTGAAGACGGTTTTGTTTCATATGAGATGCAGAGGGTATATATATAAGCGAAAGGAGAAGCAGAGAAAGAGAAGAAAGAAGAGAAGGAAAAAGATAGAGAGAAAGGTGTGCTACTCATCTGATTCATCCAAAGGGATGCCAGCGAGTGCAGGGTCTGGTAGTGAATCGTCATCCAAGTGATCCAAGTCACTTGCGGAAATTCCAGTCCACTGTGTGACTTCAATACGAGAGTTGTTCTGTGGGAAATAGGGGTAAAGCTGGAAGGCAGCAAAGTGGAATTTGGACATGGCTCCATCTAATTCCACCAGGATGTACGAGCCTCCTTTGGTATGCCAAATGACAATCATGGGGCCTAGGTAGCATGGTTTGGTCTTGCGATCTAGTTCTCACTCAATACATGAATTCTGCACGAGGACAAGTGAGCCAGGTTCGAAGTCAAAGTCTTGGATGGTGTGCACAAAATGAGTGACAAAGTCTTTGACCAATGTGAAGTGGGATCTCAGAACAAGATCATGGATTCGAGTGAGGTCTTCTGGATGTTTCTGGAGTTGATGGGCGCAATGGGTGATGAGTTCTGACATTGAGTAAAATTCCACCTCAAAAGGGGCCAAGAATGTCACTTCGACAATGTCAAAAGGGAGTCTAGGTTCGACACTGTGAGCCATATAAAATGGAGAAAACCCTGTTGCCTTGTGAATTGTAACCCTCTCTGCCCAGAACACTGCAGGAGCCACTTCCAACCACTTTGATGCTTCTCCTCCACAACTCTTTACCAATGCCTCCCTCATATCGAAATGCCAATGCTCAACAACTCTGTTAGCTTGTGAGTTATAGGGTGAGATTCATATGTGGCAAATTCTGAAGGTTTTGGAAAGCCAATTGAGAGCGAGGATGTAGGGACCACCATTGTCTGTGACAATTTCCACAACTGCACCCCAGTGGCACAAGATCTGTTCAAAGATGAATTATCTGATGGACTTGCCAGTCTCTGTGCGAAGCATAGCCCACTCTGGGTAACTAGTGAGTGAACAGCGAGCTTGGGTGACATAGTGAAATCCATTTGACTTTGGCATTAAGAACATGTCCATGTATGCTTTGAAGAATAGGGGCTCAGGGATGGTGACAACTGGTGGAATATGAATGTGATCCAGATGGTGTATTTGGCATTTGTGACATGACTTGACATACCAGCGGACGTCCTGCTCTACCTGGAATTCCACAGGCATCAATGTCGGTACAGGCCTGACCTTCTTCACTACAGGTTTGTATTTTAAGATATGAAGGACAGGATCAAACTGGTAAGTAGAATGTAAGGCTGAAATTGTCAGTGGTGAAACAGTAGTGCTAGTAGAAAATAAGAAAGGGTCATTTGAAGAAATGGAACTAGAATTGAACGGGTCAATTGGGGGCATACTGTTGTTTTGTAAGCCATAGAGCAGTGCTGCAGCGGAATTTTGGGTAGTATCTGTAGAGAAAAGAGAAACCAGGTTCAAAGGTAACAAGGGAGAATCAGAAATGTAGAGCGAGCACATGGAGAAAATGTTATCATGGCCTCCTCATGATCTAAACAAGTCATCGACTGTTACTAAAAACCCTGCTCAGGTTGTTTCATGTGGTGACACATCTCCTTGCATGCAAAGTAGTCTTCTTCATCATTGGAATTTATGAACTGTGGAAGAGGCTGTAGTCTGTTTTGAGGGCACATCAGAGTTAATTCCTGTCTTCCTGTGTTAGGGTCACAAATCTCTAGGGACTGTTCCCTGTCAGGGAAATCTCGTAGGATGCTGGTGAGCAGACAGAAGAAGGGTCGCCTGAGAAGTAGATCAAATGGAGCATGATCAACGACCTGGATTTGGAGGTGCGCTTTGATATTCCCTATGTGCAAGGACGTGTTCTCTATGACACCTAGAGTACTTTCTTTGGATTGGTTAGCAGCTTCGAGAGTTATGCTCATGTCAGAATGAAGAGGAGCCCCTAAGGCCTCCCATAGTTCATGATGCAAGGCTACCACCTGACAACCACTGTCCAGAATGCATTCAACATGGAGTTTGTCCATTAAGATGCCATTGACAGCATGTAAGGGGGCAGTAGTGAGGCCTACACACCTCCCTTCGACATCTCTGACCCAGAATTGTTCATAGGACACCCAGGTAGGTGATGCCACAGCTTCTGATGCCATTTCCAGGCTCCCAATCGTTATCTTCTTCATTGCAGCCAGTTCTTGGACCTGCTTATGAATCTCTGGGCTGACAGCAAGGAGGTCTTTGGTAGAGATTTCCATCTTTGCTTCTAAGATGTGGTTTACAAGACATCTGGTAGCAGCCACTTCATCAAAACTGCTCTGGTATCGAAATTGGGGTGTGGGAATTGTTGTGGGCTTAGATTTCCTGGGATCTGTGGGATTAGAGATGGCCAGACTTTTACTAACAGTTGGGTTCTCTGTAACATGGACAGGATTGTTTTGAACAGAATTAACAACTGGCCTGGGGGCAGATGATGCATTAGCAGGCACTGGACTTGTTGTGGGGTTTCACTGATGGTGGGCCAGAATTTCTACACCATTGAAATGAGTGGCCTTCTTCTTCTTGATATTATTTTTCAATTCTTCTACTTGCATGTAAGCTCTCGCCAGGGCATGTTGGTCTTCTTCATCAGCATTCCCCTCTAGTTCTTCATTGATTAGGTAGGAGGAGGGATGTAGGTCAACCTGAAACTCCACAGATTCTTCATTAGTGAAGAACATCATGCTGATGAGATGAGGTGGGGTATCACGTCCTTGAGATGAGTTCAATGACTGGCTAGGACATTGTATGGAGACAAGGTTTGCTGAAGCGATGATAGAATCACGCATGGCGAGGAAGTTGTTGATCTTTTCTTTAAAGTTCTGGCCAGCAGCCATCCTGGGAATGTCAGAACCATCAGGCATAAATACTCTTCCCCCTATCAGGGTGCATTTCCCAGCTTGTATGTATTCACGACACAGTGCACACTCTGCCATATGGTGACCATCGGTGCTCCTGCAGAAGAAACACCATGGGTCAAAAGAGTGATGGAATTGGGCCTCTTGACCTTGCTGAGGGGGTGATGTGTCGGTAGGTTGTTGGGTGACTTGGATGTACTCACATTTTAAGATAGTGGGGACAGTCAACAACGAAGGGGGTGTGGAGTTCTGGGGAAACAAAGCCGAAGAATCAGGCTGGGGGAGATTTTGTTTTGCTCCACTGAGTAGGTAGTTAGCATGCTTGTAGACCAGATTGAACTCCCAAGGTTCATCGATGTCATGATCTAGGTCTGAAAGTTGCAATCATGTGAGCAAGGAATTCCAGAACCTCAGGGGAAACCCCTCAAGGAATTTCTCATTGATGTAGTCTTCAGGGAGCTTCTTCTTCTTCTGGACAAGGCCCAGGATGCATCAGAATTCCTGGACGTATTTACCAAGATCTTCCAGCGATCCCATAGGTTTCTGGACTTGATGGTAGAGTAGGGTTTCCAGGTTGGCTTTGGTATAGTGGCAATCTTGCACCGAGGCACCTGGATAGTAGTTCAGGAGTTCTTTGGAAAACATGTCCCAGTCATTGAAGCCATTGGTTGCAGCGTCTAAGGTGGACCAAAATTCCGCCTTGTTGTGATTGGCATAATGGATGACCCAGTGGATTTTATCTCTTCTGGTGTCAAGGCCAGCTTTGACGCAGAGTTGTTTGATGTCTTCAAGGTAGCAAGTGGTGTCTTCAGTACAACCAGAAAACTTCAGGGCTTTGTTAGAGCCCCCAAGTGGCATGTCTCTAGCTCTGGACATTATGCGAATGGATGCAGAATTTAAGAGTGGGGCGACTGAGGTATTCTGAGTGGGAACTTGGGCAGGGGAAACAATAGTGGGATTTAAAGTGAGTGATTGCGAAGAGATAAGGAGTTGTTCAGCAGCAAGTTTGGAATTACTAGATGAGGAAGGTGAAGAAGAGGTTAGTTCTGAGGGAGGCAAAAGTTCTTGATGCTCTGCGGGAGGATCAAAGGGTTTGTCAAAGTCGAAACCTCCTGGAAACACTGGGTAAAATGCTGGGGACTCTGGGCTCCGGAAGATCTTGTCTAACCCAAGATCTGAGTCTGACAAGTGTGGCTCTGAAATATCTCTAGGATCAGTTACCAGAATTAAGATTTCTGATGAGGAAATAGATAGTCTGTGGAAGGGCTCTAGGAGCTCTTCAAGTTCAGTTCTTTGATGAGTGGGTTGTAAGGATCTCCTTTCCAGATCTACAGACCCCTTGCAGTGGGCTCCAAAACAATGTGGGACACTACCTCTGGGTAGCGTGTGAATAGGGGGAAAGCTGTAGGGAAATCCCTAGGCTCGACCCAAGGGGTGCTGAGTAGGAAGGAGACATATAATGCGATGGTAGAGACAGCTAGGAAGTCAAATGTAGGGTGTGGAAATTAGATCCACAGGGCTGTGGATGATTTGGGTACAAATTGACTTGGTTACAAAATTCCGAGTGATGATCTTGAGGTGAAGAAGTAATTCCGAGACAAGTAAGACACATGTTAGACACAGGGACACAAAGGAGGGGATGGACACAGGTGATGCAGATACACAGAGGACACAAAAGACACAGAAGACACTGATACGCAATAGCCACAGAGGGCACAGATGACTCTTTGAACACTTAGACTCATGAATACACAGATTGTGACTCCAAAAAGATGGGTGGTATTTTTCTGTCATTGAGGTGGAATTATATAGTACATGGAGAGTAAGGTACTGATCAGAGAAATGTGGGGCAGGAGAAGCAAAACTCCAAAAAATAAAGGGGACAATGTGTCAGACATCAAAGCCATACAGCAATGTGTGAAAACAAACTGTAAGGTAGCAACTGAGAAAGACAACAGGAAAGATGGGTATCTTCTGACAGGATGAGTGTACACTGTACTGTAGAGTGGAACGCGAAGGGTAGAGGCCATAGGTAGAAAGGGGTTCTCAATTGTGGAGAAAGGTTTGCAGGAAAGGAACAAGAGGGGTAGCCAGAGTTTTTACTGATGATCTGTGTGGCTTCCCAGCTACATGGTGAGGCGAGGGTCGAGGTGACATGACTGTGGAATTCTGGATAGATGAATGTCAGGTTGATGTTGACACAGAATTTTGGGACAATGACTGATGTGCATTATTGATGGATAGGGAAGCTCCGAAGGTTCAATGGGCGAGGTGGCACATGAGGCAATGCACAAGGCAAATGGGATAATTCCGAAGATGACAGATGTGGATGGTAATGGTGGAATTTTGGTGTTGGCATCCCTATTTCAGCCTCAGGGAGTATACTACTCCCTACACTGGTGTGCTCGGCAGAAGTGGATGATGTCATAGCATCTATCCAGCATAAGGTCAATTCTCAAGGATCCGAGCACACACACTCTGGTACCATGAAGAAGGAGTACCTGGACATGATCCTCGCCTGGTCCAATTCTTGCTGTCCCCTCGACTCCCTGTTGCAGTACATCCATTCGGTGATGACACACTTGGAACCCTCAGTGCTGCTGTTAGTCAAGTGGGTGACAGATGCGAAGACAAAACTAACCACCATGCAGCACATTGAACAGCTGGCCTGTGCTGCTGTCGCATTCATGCTGTGGACCAGGTAACTAGCATGTGGCTTTACCTCTGAAGTCAATGATGACAATTTACAATAGGAACTATGAACTGATCAGGCTGAAGTGTGGGGACATAAAACTTGACAGGACCACTGTGGATAATGTGTTCCTGAAGTACCTTTGAGGTGAGGAAGGATCACTCACCATCAATGACCTTGGTGTGTACTTTGAGGTGCACCTGAGGAATCAAAAGGGGTGGCAGAGAAAGTTGGACAAAGGGATGAGGGAAATTGACTTATGAAGTACATTCAATCCCATCTTCATGATGTGGCACTACCTCACATCTGATGTCCATTTTCAATGGCATGTATCCATAGGTAATCACTACAAGGTTTATCCATGCCCAGATATGGGCAAAGCATGTGATGTCTTCATGCACCTGGTTTTCTGGATGAGATGGACTGAGATTGTCCATCTTGGTCAACCAATGGCCAACAACAACTTCCTCTTTCCCACCATTGGTGCAAATGGGGTACTGCAGCCAGGTGAACCACTCTCCCATGATATGGTTCAGAAGTGGATTGATGAGGGAGTGGCAGGTGCTGGGATTCCTGGAACATTCTCCATGCATTGCTACTGTTGGGGAGGAGTGCAGTACAGGTTCATGTATGCCCCAGTGGGGCAGTGATGGACCCTTGCATGTGTCTGATGGTGGGGGGGGTGGACCAAAGGTGAACATGTGAGTCTTGTGTTCTTTCCTATCTGGGTGTGTTGGAGTGAACTGGTGCTTCTCACATTGTCCTTGACACCACACACACAGCACAATACACCGATGCATTACCTGCTCAACAAACTTCATTGCTATGAAACCAACCACAGTGATGCCCTGGGCCTGATCTCACAGGAAGCTGAGGACTCACTGTGAGTCAAAGTGTGGTTCAGTGGTGAAAACCAACCAAAACCAACACAAAAGACAAAAAGAGCAAGTGGTGGTGTGCCTATGTGGTACCTAGATGGTAGAACCTTTGATTTGGGTGGTTTTTTTGCAAGCTACAACACTCAAGGATGAGTGCTGAGCATTGGGGGTGCTCCTGACAAAGAGGGAGCAAGAATGCAATAGAAAGCAATAGGGTAGACTGCTGTCAGCCTATAGAAGGATGGATGGCAGCTTAATTCAATGTCCTAAGCTGCACTGAGCTCAGGGAGGGCTTGGAGTGAAGTATATTGATGATAGACAAGGATGAGCGAAGTAGACAATAGTTAGACCCTTAATAAAGTCTCAACTATCAAAGCTGCTGAATGAATTACTGAGTGATGATAAAATGTGAGCAAGAGGGGCTCTCTGATGTCTTCTTTTTTTTTTTTGCTATCTAAGTACAGTAATTTATATACAGTACAGGGGTGTTGCCCTTGGAAAACAAGGTGCAAACACTTGGTAAGTGATTGGTAACTGATGAGTAAGGAATGTAAGCGATGGGTAATCATCTTGGAAAGCACTGGTAAGCATTGGTAAGGATTAGCAAGCCAAAAAGCAAAGAATCAGTAAGCAAAGTCAAAAGATTGGTAAGTATTGGCAATAGGTGAGTCAAAGACAGTCAGAACGTCAAAGTATGAGTCAAGTGATGTCAGGAACTGGGAAAGTGCACTGGAATTGCATTAGGGGGAGGCTGTGCATGTCACATCTCAAAGAGATCACTTCTAGGCCAAGGTGGGATGACAGAGGCAGCACTGATCTGATGCCAATATAGTACATCCAAAAGTGGACAGGGTGAATCAGATGTCAACAGGGGTCAAGCTTTGGGGGTCAGTGGGGTGACAGGAGCATAGGGGATCACAACCTTCCCCCCCAAACCATCCTCTCAGTGAAGCAAATAAAAACTTCATGAACAAGGCTCTGTTGGAAGAGAGGATGAATGGGGAGTGTCTTCTGCTGTATCTTGCAACAAGGAGGCAAGATGTGCATCATACTCATCATGGATGTGATCAGGGAGAGTGGAGAACAGTAGATTATACTGTAGCTGTCACAATCTTGGAAGAATGATGGACAAGACTGGTATGAAGACATTGCAGGGAGCAGGGAGGAAGGATCCATACACTTCTCAGACTGGAGAGACTGAAACGACCACATAAGACCTTTCCAAGTGAATGACAGACCTGAGGCAACCAAAGAATGTCCTCCTAGAGGTCATACTGACAAAAAGAACATGCTGTCCAAGCTGGATGGGCTGAGAGGGCACAGATGAGGGTGGGATGTACCAGGATGCTTCAGGATGGAAGCTGGTAGGAACTCCTGGTAGATATATGTAGCCATGGTCCCTAGCAAAGGGGACAAGTGAAATGATTGATGTAGAGGTGGCCATATCAGAAGAAGTTAGTGAAATGAGCATCTTTTGGAGGGAGTGCTGTAGAAATGTGTGGAGTGCACAAATCCTTTCCAATTTTGGAAGGTAAGATTGCATGGCTGAGCACTACAAGTGAGTGTGGGAATGGTCTCTGTATCTGCAGAAACAGTGGAGATATGTCAAAAACTGGAATGCCATACACAGGTGCTTAAGAATTTTAGCCAGCATTAACTCACTCCCTTTCCTTTTCTCTGGCACTGATGACTTGTTCTTGTGCGAGGGATGAGTGCTGACATTTCTGGCTGTCCATCTTTGCATGAGGGCTATGGTCTTCATCTCCATTCATCAGCTGTATCCATGTCCACCTCACCAAACACCTTTGGTGTGTGACATTGCTTGCTGGTGAAGCTGCACTCATCTGGCCAGCATCTACAGAAGCACTCCACATGGCCCATGCAGCACTAACAGCAGATGTCACAGCACTGTACTCAACAGTGAAAAAAATGTCTCATTCACAAGTAGTGATGTCAGCAGATGTAAGGGAGATTTGCCAAAAACTGGGTGACATGAGCAACATAGTCACAGCACTGGCCTTGACATCCACTGCCTCTGGTGCATACTCATATTCTGCACCAATGGTGCCATGTCAGGGCACTGGTGATGCTGCGACAGATGGTGAGTCCATTCCATTCCTCACTGTCACCACATGAAGGCCAAACTAAAATCTGCAACAGCCCACCAATGTCAACACCATCAATGCTCATCCACAGAGTATCAGAGCACTGTCTTGCCACCTCCAACAGTTCAGTCCATTCTGGCTGCCCAGCCACATGATTCACAACCATTGCTGCTCAGATTGCCATGCCTCGTCCAACTACCCCCAGATGTCTCTGCCATGATGCAGTCCCTCACTTCACACATCAGACCTGAGAGGACCAACAGCTGCTCGAGTTCCTCTGCCACTCCCCTGGGACTGCTCATCCTGGATGTTCCTGTCTTATGGGCAGATGGGACACACACTCCAAGGTCAGACTCCTGGAAGGACATTGTGTGCCACTGGACAAAGGGTGAGCCACAGCTCAACCTGCACACTCTGCTCAAGGACTGGCCCCATCACTACTACAATGGTAAGTGCCAGTGCCTCAACACTAAGCACTACCAGTGCAAGGTTGTGGCCACTGAATTTCTGAATGAGTACATACTACTTCGATCTGTCCTACTCCAGCATCTCTGATGGTTGTATCTGGCTCTCCAGGTTCCAAGGGAATGAGGATGCATTCCTCAGAGCTTATGGAAGTGCTGCCCATCTAGGACATACAAGGCTCCTCAATGCCATCATAGCTGCTCACAAATGGCATCGTGGGGATGGGGAGCACTGCCACCAGGCAGAGCAGCAATGAGCTATCCTTTTTTTTTATATAAAAAATATCATTCACTGTTGCATTGTCTCTTACACTTCTTACTCAACATACTGTGGTGTAGTGGTAGATACTCTACCTACACATTCTCCATAATCCATGTTCTCTACACGAAGCTTGAAAGTTCATCAATCAAGAGATGGCAATTGCCATTTATGAACATAAATTGCATGGGCCAGCGGCCCTTCCCTCCAATATATACCATTGATCATGATTGAAAGCAGATGACAACAGTTGCCTCATACAGCAATTACAAAATTGCCAAATGGGGATGCGCCAATGTGGCCAGCTTGCCAAGGGGCATGACAGCATGATGTCACTGGGGCTCTGTGCAAGCCTGAGTGACCATTCAGGGCAAGTTCCCATGCCTGCCAGATGAGGCAGGTGCCCTTCACCACCACTGTGAATTTCTCATGCTAAGTAATAATAGTCACAATGGTAATTATGATGACCATTGCAATTGCAATAGCAATACAAATGGCAATACCAAATGTAGTGTCATTGGGGGGTTGATATTATGAACATGGTATCATCACCCCCTTATTTCGATGTTATTATCATGATGATTACAATAGCTGTGCCATGTAGAAATAGCCCAGACTCTCAGCACTGCCATATTACTGTAATCTGATTTGTAATGTACTGTGATGAGAACTGGGGATTGCAATTAATTTTGGACCGAGGGAATGGAAAAATATATTACAAGTATCTTATCTCATCCTAACCCTTTTTTCTTTTATCTAGGATCTGATAATTTGATTTGATTTGATTACCATTACTATCTTATCTTGTAATCTTATCATATTCTATTCATCACTATTACACTACATAGCAATCATTACTACATGCTTTCCTAATCAACTACAACAACTACAAACTATTTTTTTTAACTTGATTTGACCAGGGTTTGAACCTAGGGACTAGTGTAGTCGTTAGTCTAATTAGCATAGCTTACCATTAGTCTATGCACCCAATCTATTGATAGGGATGTCAAGTCCCCTTAAGGAGACTTTTTGGACTTAGACAAATTTTTGGAAATTGCTTTGAAGGCTCTAATGGGTCAAAGCACTTGAGGCAAAGACAGGATACAGATAACATTTGGAGCATAGGTACAGAGACAGGCAGTGACTAGGGCAGTGCTACAAAGGAAGAGAAGGCTAGTATTCAGTATGGAGTCACAAGATACGTAGTAATCTAGTTACGAGTCCTAACAATAAAATAGCAACTGGTCAAAGTGAATCTACTTAATGCATCTGCCTCTACCATGTCACCCTTTCGACTTCTGTACTGGATTAATGCTACCAGATTCCAAAGTATCAGTACTTGATGGATCTGCACTATTGTTGTTGCTTGTTCTGAGGGTTGTTACAGGTGCTGGGATGGATGTTACAATTTGATGGGATTCAGATGCAGCAGGAACATTTGTGTCAGTGATTGAAAGTGAATCTGGGGTGGACAGACCAGAACTATCCATCTCATCTGCATCATCTTCTGATAGTGCAGCAGAGTCCATTGCCACCATCACAGCATTGATCTCCACAGAAAAGTCCTCCATTGCGCCCATCCTGGACTTCATGGCTGCTCCAGGGTTCCTGAACACAAAGTGGTTCATCTCCATGACAATCTTCTGGATGTGATGGTGTCACACACCAAAGGTGTTTGGTGAGGTGGACATGGATGTAGCTGATGAATGGAGGTGAAGACCATAGCCCTCATGCGAAGAAGGACAGCCAGCAATATTGGCAGTCATCCCTCACACAAGAACAAGTTGTCGGTGCCAAAGAAAAAGGAGGAGGCAGGTTAAGCACCAATAAAATTCTTAAGCGCCCATGTATGGCATTCCAGTTTTCAACGTATCTCCACCAATTCTGCAGACACCGAAACCATTCTCACACTTGCTTGTAGTGCTCAGCCACGCGATCCTACCTTCCAAGATTGGAAAGGATTTGCACACTCCACACATTTCTACAGCACTCCCTCCAAAAGATGCTCATTTTGCTAATTCTTCTGATATGGCTGCCTCCACATCAGTCATTTCGCTTGTCCCCTTTGCTAGGGACCATGGCTACATATATCTACCAGGAGTTCCTACCAGCTTCCATCCTGAAGCATCCTGGTACATCCCACCCTCATCTGTGCCCTCTCAGCCCATCCAGCTTGGACAGCGTGTTCTTTTTGTCAGTATGACCTCTAGGAGGACATTCTTTGGTTGCCTCAGGTCTGTCATTCACTTGGAAAGGTCTTATGTGGTCGTTTCAGTCTCTCCAGTCCAAGAAGCATATGGATCCTTCCTCCCTGCCCCCTGCAATGTCTTCATACCAGTCTCATCCATCATTCTTCCAAAATTGCGACAGCTACAGTATAATCTACTGTTCTCCACTCTCCCTGATCACATCCATGATGAGTATGATGCACATCTTGCCTCCTTGTTGCAAGATACAGCAGAAGACGCTCCCCCTTCATCCTCTCTTCCAACAGAGCCTTGTTCATGAAGTTTTTATTTGCTTCACTGAGAGGATGGTTTGGGGGGGAAAGTTGCAATCCCCTATGCTCCTGTCACCCCACTGACCCCCAAAGCTTGACCCCTGTTGACATCTGACTCACCCTGTCTGCTTTTGGATGTACTATATCAGCATCAGATCAGTGCTGCCTCCCTGTCATCCCACTTTGGCCTAGAAGCGATCTCTTCAAGATGTGACATGCACAGCCTCCCCCTAATGTGATTCCAGTGTGCTTTCTTGGTTCCTGACATTGCTTGACTCATACTTTGACATTCTGACTGTCTTTGACTCACCTATTGCCAATACTTACCAATCTTTTGACTTTGCTTACTGATTCTTTGCTTTTTGGCTTACTTATCCTTACCAATGCTTACCAATGCTTTCCAAGACGATTACCCATCACTTACATTCCTTACTCATCAGTTACCAATCGCTTACCAGGTGTTTGCACCTTGTTTTCCATAGGCAACGCCCCTGTACTGTATATAAGTCACTGTACTTAGGTAGCAAAAAAAAAGAAGACATCAGAGAGCCCCTCTTGCTTGCAATTTATCATCTCTCAGTAAATCGTTCATCAGCTTCGATAGTTGAGACTTTATTAAGGGTCTAGCTATCATCTACTTCACTTATCATCATCTATCATCCATATACTTCACTCCAAGCCCTCCCTGAGCTCAGTACAGCTTAGGACATCAAATTAAGTCACCATCCATCCTTCTGTAGGCTGACAGCAGTCTACCCTATCGCTTTCTATCACATTCTTGCTCCCTCTTTGTCAGGAGCACCCCCAACCCTCAGCACTCATCTTTGAGTGTTGTAGCTTGCAAAAACCCTCCAAAAGAACAGGTTCTACCATCTAGGTACTGCATAGGCACACCACCACTCGCTTTCATTGTCTTTTGTGTTGGTTTTGGTTGGTTTTCACCACTGAACCTCACTTTGACTCACAATGGTCCATCCACTTCATAATGAGCACTTGTTTATATGCACAGAACACTTGATAGTAATTGATTTTCAAGATAGCCCCACAACCATTCCCTGGGAACTCCTTGTCAGGAGAAAGTAGAAACATACACTGTAATGATGAGAATTAAATCAGTAACACATAACATGGCATCACTGTAGGTTACTCACCATTGTTGCAGCCCATGCAATAGATCCTGGTGTCACTGCTGTGACCTGCCACTTCTGCCCATTTGTCTTCAGTCCACCACAATGAACAAAGCCTTCTGTGAGTGACATCTTGCCCCATAGCACTCCTTTCAAAATCTATTCCTCATCAGTGGAAAATTGAAGGAACATAGTTTTGACTCACCTGAGCAAGCAGTTTCCAGTTCATGAATGGTTTACATATGTCAAGCTTCATGTCCTTGAAGAGAAAGGGGAACCATATTGTGAAATGTTGGTTTGGAGTGCCTACCTCCTTGACTCCAAGCATCTTTGTGATTTTGGGAACTTTGAGATGAGACACATTCAGTGAGAAGTGGTTCTTTGGCAGAGCAAAGATTTCATGGGCATTGTCACATAGCTTGTAGAGGATGTGGGACTGACCACTTTGCATTGCTTGTGCAAACTGGGACATTGTCAGCATAGTAAGATCATATGGCAGGCATGAATGTATGACATCAAGGAAGAAATGGGTGTTTCTGATTCTACACAGATGCTCTGGGAGTATGGAATCGAGCTCAGTGACAAGACCCTGTTCCTCTGCCATCCTGCTAGCATAATGCTCAGCTGTCACAAACACAGGGGAAGGTGACTTTGGCAGCTCCGACATGGCATTGGTTAGTGGTGTTTGTGGCAAGAACATTTCCATCATTACAGCATATTTTTTCCCCAGTGTCTTGATCTTGCTGTCATATGCAATCATGTCAGCAGGAATGTCCTTCATAGAATGGCAGGTTTTTTTTGCCTCTAGGATGGCATTCTTCTCCAATAGTTCCCAATTGCAGGATTTTTCTATGTCAAGTTGCAGCTGGATGGACCTTAGCATCTGTGAAGTAGTCAGTAAGAACAGTTCTTTGCAAAAAAACATGATTACATACCTCTGCAAGATCACCATTGCCTTCTCTTGAATGGGATGATGTGCTCATGATGGTCCATTGATGACCTTCAGCATCAGGGTCATTGAGGTCAGTGAGTGTGCATTGAGAGTGCCTGCTGAGATTCATTATTATTGCAGATAGGCTTGGAGCACAGTTGGGTAGCACAGGGACTGGGTGTTGGAGTCACTGATTGTTTCTTTGCACCCTTTTGAATGCAGGAGCAGTGTGTACAGCCAATGCTGATGAGAGCAATATTAAGTCATGATGCAACCATGATGCCTCTTACTGAAGGCCTAGTGCATGATATCAAACATCAGCAAATCTCAAGGTAGATATTAAAGTTAGCCTACCAAAGGAAAACATGTTGGTGATTGACAAATTTCAGTGCTTGGCAATCAGAAGATTTGGAGCTCACCATATGACAGTGCACAGGAATGCATGGAGCATGAATACCAACTTGGAATGCAAGGAAGTGGCCAACAGAGGCTGCCAGTCAGCAGGATGATGATGCAAATGGGCATGTAGCAGCATGTGGGTTCAACAAGGTGCAGTCCAAATTAACCAGTAGTTCCTGAAGTCAGCATATCATCCAAAACAAGAAGCAAACAAAAAAACTAGCATTGTGTTAGGTCATGGGCTTCATGCCATGCCCAATCAGGACAGCCTTTTGAGTTCCTCAAGCACCAGTACAAAGGTTGCACACCAAATCCATGCTGATCATGCCAGTGGGAGATGGGTATATATGCATAGAGTCGGATACCTGAGAGGAACTTGTCAGCACATTACTTAGGAAAGCAACAAAGAATGTACATAGTCCAAGAATTTTGCATGTGTATGGTGCTCGATATCATGCAAGTCAAAGTCACCCCAGCCAAGCTGAACCTCGATCCAGTATTTGTTGCTCATTGTACCATCCAACATGTCCTTGTTCTGTAGATAGAGCATTAGTGGGTGCAGTCTTGGTAAGGCATAAATATGTAACATACATCAGTCATGAGTAAATGGCATGTTATGTTCCACTTGCAGGCTGAGAATAACAAGATATCTGCACAGGATGAGTTCATCTTGTAACTCTTTTGAGGGTGAATCATTTCTTGCTGCACCATCTCGATTTGGAGGGGCTTGAGTTCTTGATTGAATACTCAACATAAGTCCATGACAACAATCTTGTGAACTAAAAAAAATCAGTCAGCACAAATCACAAAATACAGCAGAATGTGACCATCTCTTTTGCCACAAGTGAGCACAGAATATCTAGATCAAACTAATCTTATGGGTGGGGATCTTGCCATGCATGAAGATACCTGTCAGATCAAGTTGGACCTGGAAACCTACATAGACATTCGCTAGGTCAATCATTGGGCTCCACCAGAGCATGAGTGTGAACTGATGGTTGGGAATTTGGTTCAAACCCAAATGTTGAGCATTTGCAAGCTTTTTGTATCAAATGGACTCTTCGAAGCCCAACACCTTCTCCCAGAAGAGACTCTCCCAGGTTGGGAAATACCACCCAACACAGAGATAACATCGACTTGGTAGTTGTTGAGCTGCCAAAGTTTTCTGTCATGTTGTTGTGAAGTCCACCAGAATGGATTGCTACAATTGTAGTTAGTTGTGGCATTCAAGGAGAAGGAATAAACATGCACTGTTTGAGCAACTGATGTTGCCTCCAATCTGTATGAATGCACCAACCACAATCATGGTGAGACTAAAGAACTAATTAACTTTGTTGATTCCACATATAGTGAAATGATAAACTTACATGTGGCAATCCTTCTGGAACAGAGTATTGATATGGGGGATACCTCTGTCCCAGCTGTCTTCAAGGTCTTCAAGAGTGAGACGATGGCTTTGAGTGTTTGCTTCCTTCCACTTCATGGAGTATTCTAACCAGACATGGGCTGAATCCAGGAATTCCAATTCTGCCTCTGATGGGCAGAGATAACAGTACAAGTTGGGTATGAGTTGGTCCTCTTCATAGAACATACTGGCTTGGAAGTGGGTAACTATCAGGACATTCATTAGTGGTTGTAAAGATGCAGGAATGATAGTGTGTACCAATCTCCACTATCAGTTTGCTTCAACCACCTCAGGTAGCTTTGTGGAATCCAAATGTGACCCATTGACAACATACTAAGACTGCCTAGCCCCTTCAGAGTGTAGAAAATGACTGGTGGGAAATGTGAAGGCACCTTATTGTTCAACCTGATCTTGACATGGGTTTGAATCTTGTTCTCAGCCCTGACAAGGGCATCTAACAACTTGTTCATGTGATAACAGCTTCACAGTAGTATGTCATGAGACCAATCAATGCAGTATTCCACTTGTTCACAATGTTGAAGAATGTTGTGAAACTGGAATTTGTAAGGATTCATCCATCAAATACAGTTTTTGAACTGTTGGATACCTGAAAAGTCTGCATGTCAGAAAAAAGACCTGAGCAATCAATGTATTCCAATGAACCATGGCTTTGAATTATCTCCCCAGGTGTGAGTGAGATTTCAGCCCTACGAAATCTTTCTGTACCATAGTCTTGAACTCACTCAGTGTGAGTCAACAGGGTGGAAGATATGGGGCTTGGCACAGGGCCTGTGGCTTTGGCACTCTAAGTGAGAGATCCATCCCACAAGATCCTTCTGTACTATGGATTCAAACCTGCCCAGTGTGAGTGGGGTGTCAATATACAACAGGGGGGAAAAATGATGTGAGACTCAGCATGAGTCAATGGGGTGAAAGATATGGACTTGGCACAGGGCCTGTGGCTTCAGCTCTCAAAGTGAGTGATCCACCCTGCAAGATCCTTCTGTATGATTCAAACTTGCCCAGTGAGAGCAGGGTGTCAATAAACAACAGGGGGGAGGTATGATGTGAGACTTCAGCCCCACAAAATCTCTCTGTACCATAGTCTCAAACTTGCTCAGCACAAGTTGATAGGGGGAAGACATGAGCTCGACACAAGGCCTGTGACCTCAGCTATCGAAGTAAACAATCTGCCCTGCATGATCCTTCTGTACTATAGATTCAAACTTTCCCAGTGTGAGTGGGGTGTCAATATACAACAGGGGAGAGGTATTACGGTGCGCAACTTCAGCCCTATGAAATCTTTCTGTACCATAGTCTTGAACTCATTCAGCATGAGTTGACAGGTGGGGAGGTATCTGTCACCAGATAATATGATAACCTTGTAGGTAAAATTATTAGTGGTACAGTAACAAATGAACGAAAATGAGGGAATAATTATAATCAAGGCAAAGCAACTCATACTCTGCATGGATCTACAAATCTGGTATGGGAAGGTGAATTTGCTGATCAGATGACTGGTAAAATAAACAGAAAAGTTGTTTTGTCAACTGGATCCTCAGTACTTTGGGTGAAAATGTTTCAAAGGGCCAACTTACATAGTTGATGGTTTTAGTGGTGTCCTGTAGTCTTGTGTATCATTTGCACATGAAGGAACATGTCAGTATCAATCATGTCAACAACAAGGTACTCACCAGCTCTTGTATGATCTGGATACAGAAGGGCACTGCAAATGATTGAGTGGACTGAAATAATCTTGGACAATCCTCATGGTCACTCACATACCCTCCAGAAGTTGAGGTGTTTGTCCTTCTGAAGTCACTGCCCAATTGGGGCATCATATGGCTGTATCAGAGCCAAGGGGAAGGCCTCTCCACCAACAACACACTGGAACAGAAGTATAAGTTGCCCAAATATGTCATTTTGCTGAGTCTTGATGAGTACAGAGTCATAACAAGGACACCCATGGAACTTGGGGTGGGAGCATAGATAATCCATGTACTAGCACCAGTCGACAGTGGACTCAAAGTTGACTTTGAAAAGTGATATTCTGTAATCTTTGGTGAAGGTTAGAGACTTGAATGATAGAGCAAAAAGACAGTTTTACTTACCATATCATTCCTTTGGAATTGGATGTGTTTCTTGCCAGGAAGAGGTTTCCCTGTGAAGACAAAGTACTTATTGAAGAACTCACTGAGTTTTCCCCAGAATCGATTGAACATGTTGTCAGCAATACTCTTCTTCTCAATATCCTCAAACATTAATGGCTCCTTCACTTGGCTACCCAACTTCACATGGAAATATTCTTCCTCAGGCTCATCAACAGTGATATCAATGGTGTCCATATTCATTGCCACTCTGAACATCCTGTAAGAATCATATTCCTTGATCTTGCATTGGATATGCTCAGAAATCAGTCTAAGGTGATCAACATGGAGAATCTGTGCAAGCATAAGTAAGCTGGATACTAACCAACAATTTGACTTACTTGCTGAGCAACATCCTTGAAATTAGTTTGCTTTTGGTATGCTTGCTTCAACGGACCATGCATTTTCTCATTTGGCTTCATATTGAAATTTCAGGGACACCCTTTGCTTCGATGTCATCAAATACATGCATATGGGTGTGGTTCTTCAGAAAGTTCCAATTTTTCCCTGTATGCTGAGTTTGCTCCACATATTTCTGTTCCAGAAACCATCAGCAATGATTCAAATACCAAAAATGGTGCCAACCTGAATCAAGGAGTTGAAGGTATGCAGTGCTTCTCACCCAGTGGTAAGTGTGTGTGTCATATGTAGTTCAAGTGCTGTATACAGATCAAACTTGATGTAAGCATGCAGACAGTGCAACAGAAGGTAGCCATCTTTTTCTGTCTCATGCAGCAAGATGTCATGACAGGCAAATATGATTATCTTCCTGCAAGGTCTTGGAAACATTCTCGCTTGTATGAAGTTCACAGTTTGTGGGGAATTTCGATATCTCATTCTGATGAATGAGACAAACCAGACAAGGGTGATGTGACATGACACCACATATGAGTGCTATGACCACTCTAAATGTTGAGATAGTCAGTCTGCAGTTGCATGATTTCACCTACCCTAACCACTCACTGCTCTTTGTAATCAGCAGAAAGAATTAGTATGGTAGGGAAAAGTCGATGCAGGACACCATCCCAACATGTTACCCAACAGCCATTTTTCGAGTAGACCGAAATGGTGTCCAGAATCTTGAATGATTCATGCCAAATGAGATTCTTGAAGTTGGCGAAAGATGTCTTTCCAGAATACCTCTTGTCTTCATTTACCTTGAAGTGCAAAAAATCAGTAAGTATGCTCGACACCATCAATAAAAGTACTGTACAATTGGTAGCCACCCAACTACCCAGCCACCACCTAAGCCTTCACCATTCCAGATCCAAGTGGGGAGGTTAGCAAGTCATGCAACAACTGGATACCCTTTTTGTCAACCAAATGACAATAGTTTGGCTTTATCAGCATACCAGATGAATGCCAGAACCCTGCCATCAGGTGGTAAGTCACTCTGAAAAAAGGAAAAAGCAATCATTGAAGATACAGACTTAAGACTAACAACATACTTGTACATTCCAAAAATTGTCAGCCATCCATGGTTCATCAATGAAATGAACAAATGAGGAGCCATCAAACTTTGATAGGTGCTGAGCATCAAATACAAAATATGGCCCCACACTGGTATCCTTCAAAAGATCAGAAGCCCAATCCCACAGTGAATGATAGTGCACTTCAAACTCCATCATCTCACCTGCAAATGGCACACTTATTACACTTTCCTGAAACTGGACTAGTGTGTGATTAGCATTGGCAGTAATAGTAAGTTAACAATGCATACCATCATCATGCAATGGGAAGTGGCCCGCCAAGTACTCTCAAGATTGTTGTAAGTTTCTAGGGTGCACTCCTCAGTATGAAAACATCTTGAAAGCTTGAGGATAAAATTAATTTGCTCCCTGTTGAGAGCAGCCCCACAGATGAATTCTGAAAGGTCAAAATCAAGACAAGTGCAAAATGGATACCATGGAGCCATGCAGGGATCAGGGGTGTATGATTTGGGTGCATGGCCTTGACTGAACTCAGTAAATGGCACCATTACAGGTGGCTTGCTGGCATTTGGGTGGTATTTAACTCAGATATCATCAACATTGATATCAGCCTCAGGTTCAACAGCTGCACAGTGAATCAATATGAATGATACAAACCGAATGTTGACATGCACCATCCACCAGGTCATCCACACCCACAACACTAGCTGCTGACTCAAAATCCACAACCATGGGCCATAACACTGCAGGCTCTGTGAACAGTTGTGAGAATGCAATCTGAAGGGTAACAGAATACTTACCAGGTGCTGGTCCCATGTTTGCTGCAGTGGAGGATCCAGTTGCTGAGTCCAGATCATTATCAATGGCAAGTTGTCCTTGTGAACATTCACCTGTGCCAGAACAGATCCCCAACAATAAATCAGGAAATTCAGCCAGTAGAAACCAGGCACACCTTGTTGATGAAGCAAGTCAAAATGAGCAGAATCTTCATGTGTTTTGTGGATTCACCTGAGACATGATTTGTGATGAGTACCTATTCCAGTTGGCTTGAATGATTTCCCACACAATTCACATGAAACAGTTTGCTTTTCTGGAGGCATATTGTTGGTAAATGAAAGGAACACAGTCCTTAAGAAAAAAGACAGTTAGTACAGGGAGAAAAGTGAGTGGAAAGGGAAACAAGAGGCAGAATTGGTAGCAGCCACTATTGTGAAGGGCATTGCAACGACCTTGCCAGTGAATTGCAACCCCACGCTCCCACACACAATCTTATCATAAACTGATTATCACCATGTGAAAATCTGACATCATTGCAATGAACTAAATAATTTTCCAACAATTGGCAGAACAGATCATTGCATTTGAAGTCAAGGAGCTACATACATAGTGGTTGCACATTACCCAATGCAAAACGCATCAGTCTGGAAGGCGACCACAAGCACCAGATACACGAATGATCGTGCTACGGTGAGGGTACTTGCAATTACCCCTCGAATTCTCTTTCATGCGTTCTAGTACAAAAGGTGACATCGCGTACATTGATCTATCATTACAACGTCGGGAAAGGAAATTTGTTACAGTACCAAGTCAGCGCATATTGGCTGCCTCACCCCCGTTACTATCACGATCGTCATCACTCATCAACGAACTGAATTTATCCAGGCAAAATCAAGGACAAGCTTACCAATACCCATGTTTGCTAAACCAATGATGTGGAGGGGGGTTGAGTGCTTGTGCTCGCGGTGGGACCTTGGTTATTCATAGCAGTGGTGACCCTGGTCGCACCTGACCACTTGGCTTGCTCCGCTGCGCGAGCGGCAAGCCATAAATGATGTTTCGATGTGCTTGTTCCTGCATCAAGCATGATCCTAGAGCAATATAGATTCATGGATTGAAAACGGTGTGATATGCCGATGATGCTGCCTACCGCTGCAAGTGAGCTTGATCATCACCTGGGTTTGTTGAACGCATAACGAAGGTAATTTCCCCTAAGCCCTGTCGACGGCGGTCACGATGATGTTCGGGTATGTGATGAGACCGACCTTCATGTTTCCTTCTCTCCAGATGTAATCCACAACCTGAACCATGACAAATGACAACTGCGGAGACAATGGGGTTGACTCGCCTTTGGTAACAGTTGGTCGACTTCCGCACATATCCCACACCAACACAGCCACAAGATCTAAGACTATCCTGAGCATCGAAACGTGACAAGTTGATCTTACCCTTGCCTTGCCTGTGACGTCCTCCTCCAGTGCTCGTTGGTCATCCTCATCCACCGTTGCATCGAGTTTCGCTTGGAGAACCTCTACCTCTTTAGTCATAGAAGGAATGTTGAATTGCCTACATATCGCGTCCGAGGCGTAAACTGCTGAGTTTTAGTAGATATGGTGCTGACCTGTCATATTCAATGCGGCTCGCTTGACGTGTCGTTCTGGAGCCAGGAAGCAATGAATAGAAGAAAAAGGAAACGATTTGAGGCAATAAGATTACTCACGACAATGCATGTTCAAAGTATGCATTTCTGAAGACACGAAGTATGTGTTGGAGTAGCTTTATGTGGTTAGAATCACCCCAATTCTTTTTTGCCAATGGAAACACCTACATCAGCACTCAGAGTCTGCGATATGGACTTCAACTCGCGCTCCACTTTTTGCATTTCATTAGCATACCGACGTGGTGCGTCACTCCTTGCAGAAAGAGTGTGGCACCGCTTGCATAACACAGGCAACACGACTTCAAGGTGTGGGTCCAGCGTAGTACTAGATTGCCAGCTGCCCTTAAATAGGTTACACGTCATCATCCAGTCGGCGCACGACAATTTTGGTGCGCGTGCTAGTAACCCATCCTCTGAGGCCGCAATGTAAGTCTACAGACAAACATGCTTAGTGTGGCAAACAGACCTTCAGCACTGCCTGCAGAAACCTCGCTGAGTGAATCACTTTCCATCATCGAGGGAAGCCTTTCAAAGAATAATATTTTGCCGACCTGGATTCAATGATGAGTGTGAGCTGGACGAAGCAATGAAAGTATCGGTACAGACGTAATTACTCAGATGGTGGAGACAAAACATGTCTGAGAAGAACTTGATCGCTCCGTCTTTCCGTCGCCTGTTCTGATGCCATCCGAAGTGTATGTTTGAGGTTCGCACAGTTTTCCAATGCACCACAGACTGGAGACGGACTTCGATTCCCGCAGGTTGATGCTGCAGATAACATCAGTACAGACGAACCAAGTGCGAAAATGGAAGGCACCATATTCATGAGGTCGTAAAAGTGCTCCCTACATCCCGAAACGAAGCCTCGTCAGTACCACCTCACATACTGATTCCATGGGTTTACCGGATACTTTTGAATTGTTGCCTTCTCTGTACACAAGGCATTTCTCTTTGCCAAACTTGTGGACTTACGACGATATATAGTGGAGTCAAAATCCCAGGTTCGGTGGAATGGCTATCACTGTTGAGTGTCGAGTCTGGTAATGTCAAAAGGAGAACAGGACACGCATATCGCGGAATACTCACTGTCACCCGAGTCCCTTGCCTCCCCGCCGTTATCAATTTCGTACAAACCTGAACATTGTATGACCGATGTCACTAAATGCTTTCCTTCAAGACGGATGGCCAGGTCTTTCAGCAGTAGCTCAAAATGTTCATTCGTAGGAAGCCCTAGGCCCTTTGGCTGACGCAGAGCTAGGTGTTTGCGCTCAGTACTAGTATGGTGCGCCACAACAAGCTCAGTGCGATTCTCCGCGCGACGTATTAGCCTTTCGGAGCCGGATACACGTCGGACCACGGGACGATAAACGGATTCTGTGGGATCAATGTTGCCAAGGGTCTGCATATCCTCAAATATATTGCCAGTGCATTTGAAGTTGCCATCGGAATTGTCGCCATAATCACCCAGCTGGTTATATCAGTGTCGACGCAGGCGTGAGTATGCATAGCATGACTCACCGTAATCCGTGGACCGGAACACTTGGCAAACTGGGCCCGCAAGCCATTCAGCCTCAACTCATATGGATAGCGATTGGTATCCATGAACCCCGGCGTATCAAGGCCACAGTGTTCGTTCTATGTTACCACAAATGATTAGGTCTGCGTGCACGCAGGAGGAAAAGTACCAACAAATGTCGTTGCCCATCGATGTGGCCCATCACAACAACCAGGACATTGCTCGACATCAACCATGATCCTGAAATCGTCCATCTCCCACCTACCCCAGACTACCCTGGCAGCCCAGATTGATCGGGGAAGGTGGACATGTTTAATGAAGTGGTCATTGCGACGGCATGCATCATTGTGGTCTTGTTTGGGCATGCTCCGAGCATGTTCTGCACGTGCACCCCACAATCGATAATATGCTACATGGGCAAAATCTGACCACGGTATCCAGTTCTGAGTTGGGGAGCATCCATCATAGACAACGTGCACCCATCCTTGGCCGAGGTAGTATCCGAGGCCGACTGCAAAGCGAGACCTGGCGTCGTCATTGGCATACACTATAACGATGAGATCATCTGTAAGAGATGAGAGTGTAACGGTGTCGCCTGTAAACTCGCGCGGGTAGGTACCGCAGCGAGTGAATCCATGGTATGAGGCATACTCGTCGTCGAGTGCAAACTCTCGGTGTGTCTCATTGGCGTCTTGATGATAAGTAAGATAGAGTGTCTTGAATTCTGGATATGTGGTGGTGGGGGCCGAAATACGAGCAGTTGCAGAAGTCCTCTCAAAGTTGGATCCAGAGGATACCAAATCAATGGTGAAAGGGAAATAGCCGCATGGCAATATAGCTGTGAGATGAGACGGAGAGTCGCGAGAGGGGATGACGGGCAGACACACTTGGATACCTGAACTGGTGACAGAGATTGTGCGAAGTCGGTGGCTGATCGCGCGGGCACACCACCTCAACCATGCAATTCTGCACCAATGTATCGGGTTGGTTCTGGACTTATGCTGGGGGTGCCAGGGGCCGTCGAGTGCGTTCCGTTCAATGAGTGTCATTAGGTTGTCAATGAATTCATCGGGTTTCACTTTTCCGATGAATCTACTATACCGAAAGTCGCTCAGATCATCTGCGAGGACACTGCCTGTCCGCGGTTCACTTGGATTCCATGCGAATATGCTATGATCGCTGGATACGCGGACGATTTTCAGTTGTAGCCTCTGGAATGCCTTTTTGCCCTCGCCGTACAACATGGGCATGTTAACCCTGAACAACCCCATCAGTGAGTATGCCCGATCTTCCACACGCGTCGTCTTACGGCCGGCAGCCCACGACATGATTTGTGCGACGCTGAGACGCCTCGCAGCCGGACCATCCCTCAAAACTTCCCAAGGAATACCCGTTACATGCTGCAACGTAGATGCAAGGTGTCGTTTGTTGCCAATGGACGCCCAGTCTTTGTTGAAGAATTCGACCTGCTTCGGCGCGATGAGTTCTTGCAGTGTCCAGCCCCGCATGAACCACTCCGGCCAACCGTAGGACTCGCTGAACTTGTCGCGGTCTCGCTCGGTAGGGAAGACCGACTCATCAACGTCGTGGAGGTACGCATAGCACACCTGTGCATTTTGGTACCACCGATACATCGAATTAATGGCCTCTGATAATTCCGAACTGCTCCGCTTGTCGATGCAGCAGGTATCGATCCACAACCACTTGTGTCCATCCTTCCTCGCTTGTTCACAGCTCTTGATGATCTTTTGGTAGCCGGTGCGCTGCCTGACCTCTTCCCTCTCACCCTTCTCCATCTTCATCAGCCCGGTCATCTCTTCGTAACCGACCTCTGCGCCCCAGCGATGTGATAGAATCACATAACGAGTACCTTTGTCGTCGAGCTCCTTCAGTACTTCACGTTTCGGATTGGTCTGCTCGATGTGCATTTCTCGGTCGAGAACCGCTGTCACGTCTAGTAACCTCATCTTCACGAGTCAACGCAATGTCCAAAATGTTGACTAGATATCACACATACTCCGAGCCCACAGGCTATTCTTCCAGGTGCTCAGCTTCGAGTGTACGACGGAAGGCAAATGGAACGCTGATACTGGTTGCTGGTCACAGGTTTTAAGTATGAGGGAGTACAGCATTGGATTTGAGCACCAGGTTTGTGGCTATTCAATGGCTATGTGAAAAAGTACCCTAAACCCGGTGGCGGCGGGCGCTCGATGTTGACAATTACACAGCTGATCGAGAACATGAGGCAACGAGACACTCTAGGATCTCCTGTGTCTCCACTGGCGGAGCCATTTGCGATCCCAATAGCAGTACTGGCGCAAGCAGTTGTCGTATGGAATGCCTGACATTGGGTGGCACTGTAGTGGTACCCTACAAATTTCTTTGTTGACAGCATACGAATTGTGCATGGTTCCAGGAGCAGCCCACCCACTGAATGCGGCAGCCTGATGCTAGTACATTTTGTAGCAGCCCTCCCATGTATGTCACGTCACCGATTTGCCCCCTGGATGGCAATCCAAAAATTGAGTCGATCAAGGTCGCAGGGTTTGCAGCACAGTAGTGACCTCACGTGAGGGTATACATATCTATTACTGACCCATCAGTCTACTAAATCACGGCTTGAGGCACGCTTCCCTCGCAATGGGATGCATTGGCGCGATACGAGACGGTAACCAGACATGCTAAAGATCATCGATCATCAGTTGGGAGATGTGAATACGACGAACCATGATGCATGACAAGCAGTTCGCTGAGGCACCAATTGCCCTTGTTGCGAAGTTCCTCTGTGCAACACTTCCGGATTAGCGGGGAATGGCATCGTGTGCTCTGAACACTAAAGGGCACAGATCTGCGAGAGGGAGAAACCCAGGTAAACGCGGAAGGGCGACTTCCCGGGCTCCCTTGGCACGAGGTTTTGAGATGCCATGATAGCTGAGGGGGATAGTGACAAGATTTACAACGTTGTCCGAGGGAGACTTTATCAATATCAGGAGCAATGATTGGTGAAGGGCGGACGTAGGTAATGTAGAGTCCGGCTCGACGTGCTCGTTCGCTCCCGTATACCTCTCCTCGTAACAAGGGTGGATTAACGTATTATGACAAAATATCTATTAGCGCCGGACCGACTTGTCCGGGAGAGAGCACGGTGAACGATATGGTTTCCCGGTAGACCAGCCCACAGGAGAGATGATAGCTGGAAGACGTGCTGAAGGAATGTTCAACCGTTGACGAACCATCGAGGTTCGGGATGCAACAGTGTTCGACGCTCTTGCCCAGCAACAACTGGTATGAACGTTGGCGAGGCGAACCCGTATAACAAATACAGGCTCAGGTCCTCAACGTATGAATCGCAGTGCATCTGAACCGTCTCAAAATCTGCGACTTTCGCTCGTGCGTATTATGGTGGCAAGGTTGTAAAGCTTCTGTGGAGTACTTCGGTTCTGTGAGCATCCCGAGAGACATTTTCTTGAAGTGGTTGAGGAAACGTTCATCACTCAAACGTTCAGGGATGGACTTGGGTATGGTCGTGTGTGAGTCAGTACCCGATCTTCACATTGTCGGATTTCGTGCGTGACTCGTCGTAGATGGGCCTTTGATGAGCATATCTCGATCTACGGTCACTAGGTGAGCATCCAACCAGCAGTCGCATTGTCTGCGATCATTCTGGATGTTAGAAGAATACGAGAATGAGATTCAGACAGCTACCCCACATGACGATCCGACTTTCCATAGGACGATTAAGACCCAGGGAAGGCCACACCATCGAGCGGTCATTTCTAACATCAACATCAGTGCGCAGCGTCTCGTCCGCGTCTGCATTCCCGACAACGAAGACTTCAATGCCTATCTGTGCGCCATTTTCATGCGATTCCGCTCGGCAAGTTCCCGGTGGATAAATGCTAATGGTGCCAATGAAGTCGATAGAAGCTGCCGGCTTGACAGGCAAGGAGTGAAATGTTTGTACTTCGATGTGGTTGTTTCAGGTTGTGACACCTATGCATCCTATTCAGACGGGATGATTCCGAACCCAGCGATGCACGTCGCTCTGCTCGTCATTCTGCGTGCGTCGGACGTTCGTCCCAACATTCCACCGTGTCTTGCGAACAGTTTCTATAGAATAGTGGGCCAGCGGTGCATACTCAGGGTGTCCGACTCTTCGTGCTTTGACTCTGACATCATTTTCCGAAGGAGACGTTATCAATATAAAAAGCTTGGCCACTGAATGGCGGGCGTCGATAATGTGACAAAAAATTTGTTGGTCTTCAACGACGGCTGGCCCTGTCCAGAATGCAATGCATTCAGCGGTATGGTACCCCGTCAGAAGGTGGATGATAGACTGGCCTACAGGAGAGACAACAGCTGGAAGACGTGCCGAAGGGTGGGTCGAAGGAGTGCTGGACCGCTACGATGCATCAAGTTTCGAGTACACAAGGGTGTTGAATGATCATACCAAGGAGCAACCGGCATGTAATGGACGCATCTGTGAACGCACCGGGAGAGGCTGAGAACTGTGGTAATCTGTTGTATACAAGCTTATGGGTGGCGTATCGCTGGTAGTTGGCGTGGAATGTGCGCACCCTCTACACGAAGTGCTTCACATGTCTGGTGGAAGATAATCCAGCTTCGTCTCGCGCATGTCGCATTAAGCTCTGTCAGTGGTTGAGCTGGGCATGCGATAGTGGCTAACGAGGAAATGTTGTCCGGCATGTGGTCATAACAGCGACTGAGGAAACAGAAAAGGAAAATAACACCTGAATTTATGAAATGCGGGTGCGGAGGGTGGGCAAAAGGAGAAAACGAGTGGGCGATGCAGAGTGGGCGAGGCGACGAGCCCACTGGCAGGTGGCGATTCGAAGAAAGAGGTGATGGGAAAGTGTTCAGTACAGGTCTCATCGCTTGCCTCGACCTCAGCTTACCACTGTTCCACCGGCCAACTTGTTCCTAGTGGAGTCCTTCGTTGAAGTAATTGATGTTGCAATGGGGTGGACTGCGTAATGCTTGCCACCGAGAGTTGCAGGTGCACATGCTAGTTTCAGTGCACGTTTGAGCCGTTTCACCCACGTACTAATGACTGCAAAGTGGAGCCGGGGCCGGGAAGGCCCATGTATACGCACTGGTGTATGACTTCAGGTATCGGTAAGACTGTAACGTATGTGCTACCGCTGTGGGGCAAACCAGACTCGACCCCACTGGACTGGTACTACCAACACATCCAGGTCAGACCCAGCGATGCCTGTCGCTCTACAATCCACTGTGTCTTGCTAACAATTTCTACTATATGCAACGTTCGGCCAGTGGTCCGTCTTCAAGATCCCCGACTTCACTTCCTTTGAGCCACTCCCCATGTATTTTCGTTGACGATGGTTCGGTAGTCCCTTTGCAGTTGCTAGAGCGTCAGTGGGCCGCAGCAACTAGTCTGGATACAGGAGTCATCCATCGACAGGTCCTTCCGGACGCGCGAGTGCAGCTGAAGTCACCGATTTTGTCGACTGGTTGGCCTCTGAGTAGCTTGTCGCACATCCCGAAGGTCAGACTGTCCTGTTTGAAGACGAGTAGTCTGGCCCAGTTTTTGTCTACTGCATCGTCAACTCCAGGGTTGTCGTTGTACGTATCCTCTGTCTACTCGTCTACTTCGCTTCCGGAACATTTCGCCTGTATCGTACACTCCAATTTCTCACTGCAACCGAGCGCATTCACAACCCCCTTGTTTCCCTCTGTTTCACCGCTCTGGAAGTAGGCACCGTCAACGGAATCTTTGTGGAACAGATGCCATCCGATACCTTGCTAACGAAGACGGATCGTCGGGCATTGTCTCCAGACATTCGTGCCACCATGACTTGTGGGTTGCTACCAAGGCGTTGGAGATACAGTTCGAGGATGCGTATGGGGTGTACAGGTGCATACCGTTCTTGGAGGGCTTCGCACTCAATGTCGTTTGGTAAACTTCCGCGTCATCACGAGGTTCATGGTGTAATGTTCTGACGCTGAACTGCAGCCGATCTGATGCTAAGACGGAAAGTTCTGATACCGTACTTATCTCCGCACACTACGATTCCCGTGGTTCTTCTAGTATAGAACGCGTGAGTTGCAATCTTTACAGGTGTTGTTAGTTCCCTCAAACATACTCCATTTCCCAGGTACCGGTCAGAAACGATCTCGATTCTCAACATCGCATGATCGATAAAGATAACTTCGAGGAGCAACTTTGAACAAGTTGCCTTTGCTGGTGAAGGACAGGGCTTATTGGGATCAAAGGCATAAACCTGTAGGTTACTTTTCTCCAAGTCACGGATTCGTCGATGATTTACGCTCCTGGTGATGCTTAGTAAGGGGGAATTGCGTGAGAAAGGCGGGAATATCACTCCCATGATCCAGGCAGATATGCTTGTGTGCCATGCTCGCGATGAACGTCCTCGACTGGGTTTCCGCACTCGTGACGTCACTACACGCGCGATACAATATTCAATCAAGCTTCTCTAAACGCTCTACATTGATGCCTTCAGGGAAATCGAAATCGGCAGCATGGAGTAACGTAACGAACTTGAGGGGTCGTACTTAATTGACCTGTTGGTATACCTCAGGCATTGCTTCTAGACATTCGTTCCACCATTGTTCGAGGGTCGCTCCAGAGTGGTTGAAGACACAGTTCGAGGGTGCCGGTGAAGCATGCAGGTTCATGCTGTTTGTGGAGGGTTCCGCACTCAATGTCGTTTGGGAAATCTCCAGACACTATGATTCCTGTGGCTCCTTCGGTATGAAACGCGTGAGTGGGAACTTGCGTTGTTGGTTCCCTCAAACATGCTCCACTTCCTAGGCACCGGGCGGAAACGACGACGGTTCAGGAACAATCTCGATTCTCAACAGCACTGCACGACGGTTAAAGTGAAGCGGTATAACCTTTGGGGGTGACGTCGAACTAGTTGCCTTTTCCTGGGAAGCACGAGGGTTATTGGGATCGAATGCATATACCAGTACGTTGCTATTTTCTCCAAATCACTGATTCGTCGATGATTCGTAAGGGGGAAACTACGTGTGAGAAGTGCGAATATCATTCTCACGATCCAGGCAGAATGCTTGTGTACCATGCTCCCTACGAATTTCCTCAACTGGGCTTCCCACAATCGTAAGTTTGTCGCCAACATTTACCCACAGTTGGGTTGACCACTCTTTGCGGAGCGATCATTAGGTGGGATAGCGTGTCCTTCCCAACCCTTCTGTGTGAATATGGACACTCGTATTCCCCTGGTGAAAGTCTTTGCATGAACAAAGATTGCGAATTCCTGAAACTCAACTCTTCGAACGTACAGGATCAAGTAAGATCTTAAATACCCAGTAGTACACCGTCTGGGCCGACTGACTGTACTGCTTTAAGTTGCTCACCTCGTGTACCACAACACCCATGACCACTCCCGGAGACCTACGAGACGCGTCGTGCTCAGCAGCCAACTGGGATATGACTTGGACCAGCTTCGCCTCTTTCTGTCTCGCGCGTCACCAACAGGTCGATTGAGTGCAACACCTCTTAAGTTCGCTGTGTTACTCTATGCTGTCGGTTTTAATCTCCCTGAGGGTGTCATTTCGGATCTGGAGGGGCTTGATTGAACATTTGCATCGGACAGCGCTCGTGGAACGGAGTGGTCATACTTGTGTTTTTGTATATTACACTTACCTGACAGAACATGTTCACCCGCATGATTCGCAACCAAGACACGAAGGCCCAGAACATACATCTTCATCGCATCTGAGCATTACTAAAGCGATGGAATCGAACATGCCCCGACTTGCTTACACCACCTCCAAACGACGACGCGGATCACTGTTATCCCCTCTGTACACTAGTGGTGGCCAGCTTCAGCGCCCGATGTAAATCTCCTCGCCTCCGGCACTGTTAGGCCATTACATGTGTGGCACCCATGTTGAGTGCCAGCGAAAGAGATACCGACACGACGCCCACATAGGATGTTATGTTAGTCTTGACAACCTACTTTAGTTGATGGGACTGTGAAAACGCTCCACCAGAGCTCGATTCTCTGTTCCTACGGCAGCAGCTCATTCACTCTCTGAACCTGATTGACGGACGGTGGCGCAACGCAAACCGTTGGAGGTGCACTGTCATGCTCATCGACTTGTACCGATACCAGTGATCGACATAACAGCTCATTGCACTTGAAGTCAAGGAGCTACATACATAATGATTGCACGTTACCCGATACAAAACGAATCAGACGGTGATCGTACTTGCAATTGCCCCTCGGATTCTCTTTCATGCGTTCTTGTACAAAAGGTGACATCACGTAGATTGATCTATCATTACAACGTCGGAAGGGACATTCGTCACAGTACCAAGTCAGTGCGTATTAGCTACGTCATTCCCGTTACTATCACGATCGTCATCACTCATCAACGAGCTGAATTCATCCGGGCAAAATAAAGGACATACTTAGCAATACCCATATTTGCTAAACCACTGATGTGGAGGGGGGATGAGTACTTGTACTCGGGATGGGACCCTCATTATCCAGAGCAACGATATCCCTAGTCGCGCCTGACCACTTGGCTTGCTCTGCAGCCTGGGCGGCAAGCCACAACCGATGTTTCGAGGTGCCTACTCCTGCATCAAGCATGACCCTGAAACACAGTAAGTTCAGTAATTTATATAGGCACCATGTGGTCACCTACCGACGCAAGTGAGTTTGATTGTCATCTGAGTCTATAAGCTTCATCGGAAATATAATCATAAAAATCTCCCGTAAGCCCTGTTAACGGCGGTTACGATGACGTTTGGACATGTGATGACACTGACATTCATATTTCCTTCTCGCCGAATGTAATCCACAACCTGCACCACGTCAAACGACATCTGCGGAAACAATGGGGTTGACTCGCCTTTGGTAACAGTTGGTCTACTTCCGCACATATCCCACACCAACACAGCCACAAGATCTAAGGGTATCCTGAGCATCGAAACGTGACAAGTTGATCTTGCCCTTGCCTTGCCTGTGACGTCCTCCTCCAGCGCTCGTTTCTCATCTCCATCCGCTGTTGCATCGAGTTTCGCTTGGAGAGCTTCTATCTCTTCAATCACAGAAGGGATGTCGAGTCGCCTACATATCACATTCGAGACGTGAACTGCTGAACGATAGTAGATATGGTGCTGACCTGTCATATTCAATGTGGATCGCTTGAGTTGTCCATCTGGGGCCAGAACTCAGTGAATGTGAGAAAAGGAAACGATTTGAGGCAATAAGATGACTCACGAGGACGCATGTTCAATGACGAAGACACGAAGTATGTGTTGGAGTAGCTTTTTGTTGTTAGAATCAGCCCTAATTCTTTTTTTCCAATAGAAAAACCTACATCAGCACTCAGAGTCTGTAATATGGACTTCAACTCGCGCTCCACCTTTCGCTTTTCATTAGCATACCGACATGGTGCGTCATCCCATTCACACAGAGTATGGCATCGCTTGGATAACACAGGAAACACGACTTCAAGGTGCGGGTCCCGCAAAGCATTGGATTGCTGGCCACCCTTAAATAGGTTACATGTCATCACCCAGTCTGCGAACGGCAATTTTGGTGTGCGTGCTGGTAAACCATCTTCTAAGGTTGCAATGTAGGTTTACGGACAAACAGGTTTAATTTGGTGAACAGACCTTCTGCACTGCCTGTAGAAACCTCGCTGACCGAATCACTTTTCATTATCGAGGGCAGTCTTTCAAAGAAGAATATTTTTCCGACCTGTGTTCAATGGTAAGTGTGAACTGGACGAGGCAATGAAAATATGAGTACAGACATAATTTCTCAGATGGTGGAGACAAAACATCTCTGAGAAGAACCTGATCGCTCCATCTTTCTTTTGCCTGTTCTGATGCCATCCTAGGTGTGCGATTGATGTTCGTGCAGTTTTCCTGTGCACAGCAGACTTGTGACGAACTTCGACTCCTGTCGGTTGACGCTGCAGACGACATCAGTACAAGCAAATCAAGTGCGAAAATGAAAGGCACTATATTCACGAGGGCATAAAAGTGCTCCCTACATCCCGAAACGAAGCCAAGTCAGTACTACCGCGTATACTGATTCCATTGGCTTACCGAATACTCTTGAACTGCTCCCTCCTCTGTACACAAGGCATTTCTCTTTGCCAAACTTGTGGGCTTACGACAATATATAGTGGGGTCAAAATCCTAGGTTGCATGGAATGGTTGTCACCGTCGATTGTCGAGTCTAATAAAGTCAAAAGGAGAGCAAGCCACGCTTGTCGCAGAAAACTCACCGTCACCCGAATCCCTTGCCTCCCCGTGAATGTCAACTCCATACAAACTTGAACATTGTATAACTGATATCACTAAATGTTTTCCTGCAAGACGAATGGCCAACTCTTTCAGGAGCAGTTCAAAATGTCCATTTTCAGGAAGTCTTAAACCCTTTGGTTGACGCAAGGCTAGGTGATTCCCCTCTGTACTTGTATGACATACCATAGCAAGATCAATGTGATTCTCCACGTGACGCATTAACCATCCGGAGCCGGATACATGACAGACCAAAGGTTGATAAACGGATTCCGTGGGATCAATATTGCCAAGGGTTCGCATATCCTCAAATATATTGCCAGTGCATTTGAAATTGCCATCGGAATATTCACCATAATCACCCAGCTGGTTATATCAGTGTCGACGCAGGCATGAGTATGCATAACATGACTCACCACAATCCGTGGACCGGAACACTTGGCAAACTGGGCCCACCAGCCGTCCAGCCTCAACAGGTATGGATAGCAAGTTGTATCCATGAATCCCGGCGTATCAAAACCACAGTGTTCGTTCTATGTTAACACAAATGGTTAGGTCTGCGTGCACGCGGGAGGAAAAATACCAACACATGTCGTTGCCCATCCACGTGGCCCATCACAGCAACCAGGACATTGTTCGACATCAACCATAATCTTGAAATTTTCCATCTCCCACCTACCCCAGACTACCCTGGCAGCCCAGATGGATCGGGGAATGTGAACATGTTTAATGAAGTGGTCGTTGCGACGACGTTCATCGTCGTATTCTTGTTTGGGCATGCTTTGAACATGTTCTGCACGTGCATTCCACATTCGCCAAAATGTTCCATGGGCAAAATTTGACCACGGTATCCGGTCTTTCTGAGTTGGAGAGCATCCGTCATAGACAGCGTGTACCCATCCTTGGCCGAGGTGGTATCCGAGGCCAACTGCAAAGCGGGATCCATTATGGTCGTTAGCATAGACTATGATGATGAGATCATCTGCAAGGGATGAGAGAGCGACAGTGTCGCCTGTAAACTCGCATGGATAGGTACCGCAGCGAGTGAATCCATGGTACGAGGCATACTTGTCGTCGAGGGCAAACTCTCGGTGAGTCTCATTGGCATCTCGATGATATGTAAGACAGAGTGTCTTGAATTCTGGATATGTGGTGGTGGGGGCCGAAATACGAGCAGTTGCAGAAGTCCTCTCAAAGTTGGATCCAGAGGATACCAAATCAATGATGAAAGGGACATAGCCACATGGCAATATAGCTCTGAGATGAGACGGAGAGTCGCGAGAGGGGATGACGGGCAGACACACTTGGATACCTGAACTGGTGACAGAGATTGTGCGAAGTCGGTGGCTGATCGCGCGGGCACGCCACCTCAACCATGCAAGTCTGCACCAACGTATCGGGTTGGACAAGATCTTCCTGAACCTATGGTGGGAGTGCCGGGGGCCGCTGAGTGCGTTCCATTCAATGAGTGCCATTAGGCTGTCAATAAATTCGTCGGGTTTCACTATTTTGATGAGGCTACCACTCCGAAAGTCACTCGGATCCTCAGCCAGGACACTGCCTGTCCGCGGTTCACTTGGATTCCATGCGAATATGCTATGATCGCTGGATACGCGGATGATTTCCAGTTGTAGCCTCTGGAATGCCTTTTTGCCCTCGCCGTACAACATGGGCATGTTAACCCTGAACAACCCCATCAGTGAGTATGCCCGATCTTCCACACGCGTCGTCTTCCGCTTGGCGGCCCATGACATGACTTGTGCGACGCTGAGACGCTTCGCAGCCAGGCCATCCCTCAACACTTCCCATGGAATTTGCGTTATGTCCTCCAACGTGGGAGCAAGGTGCCGTTTGTTGCCAATAGGCGCCCAGTCCTTGTTGAAGAACTCAACTTGCTTAGGTGCGATGAGTTCCTGCAGGGTCCAGCCCCGCATGAACCACTCTGGCCAACCGTCGGACTCGCTAAACTTGTCACAGTTTCGCTCGGCAGGGAAGACCGACTCATCAACATCGTTGAGGTACGCATAGCACACCTGCGCGTTCTGGTACCATCGATACATTGAATTAATGGCCTCTGATAATTCTGAACTGCTCCATTTGTCGATGCAACAGGTGTCGATCCATAACAACTCGTAGCCGTCCTTCGAGGCCTGCTTGCAGCTCTTGATGATCTTTTGGTAGCCGTTGCGTTGCCTGATCTGGTCCCTTTTCCGCTCCTCCATGTTCATCAGCCCAGTCATTTCTTCGTAACCGACCTCGTCGCCCCAGCGATGTGACAGTATGGCATAGCGAGTGCCTTTGTCGTCAAGCTCCTTCAGGATTTCACGTTCGGGGTCGGCCTGCTGGATGTGCGCTTCCCGGTCGAGAACAGCTTTCACGTCTAGTAACCTCATCTTCCTCACGAGTCAATGCAATGTTCAACTCATCAAATAGTAATCACACATACTTTCAGTGGCCGGGCCCACAGGGTATTCCTTCACGTGGCGAGTTTCAAGTGTAGGATAACGGGTGAATGGAAGACTGATGCTGATTGCTGGCCAGATTTTACAATGGTGTACAGCACTAGAGGTGAACGCCAGCTCTGAGGCCTTTCAACGGCAATCTATCCTAAACTAGGCGGGCGCTCGACGTTGACGTTCACACAGCTTATCGAAGGCATGAGGCAATGAGTGACAGGATGTCCATTCCACCTATTCCCTCCAGTTGCAATGATCTCTCCACTGACCTAACCATGTGCCGGCCTGCCGGCATGGGCAGGAGAACTACATAAACAATCATGGTCTGCTTGCCTGACTCTCGTACCCTTTTCAATCCTTTGGCTGATGACGCGCAGCTTGCGGCAGTAGTACCCCGATTGAACCCAGCCGCTTCACGTTAGTACACTTCGTAGGAATCCCATCTATGTATGTAGGTAAGCTTCCCTCGCGATGGGATGCATTTATGCGACGTGGGGCAGTAACCGAACATGCCAAAGATCGTCGATCATCAATCGAGAGATGTGAATACATCAAAGACGAAACATGACAAGAATTTTACCCAGGCACAAATTGTCCTTGCTGGGAGATTCCTCTGTGCAACGCTTCGTATGACTTGGGAATGGCATCGTGCGCTCTGGACAATAGAGTCCACAGATCTGCGAAAAGGAGCAGGCTGCATACATACGGCAGGGCAAATGCCTTGGTTCGGTCGTGGTGGGGGTTGACAACAGCTTTCCAGAGGCTGTATCAATATCGGGAGCAGTGACTGCTGAAGGGCGGATGGAGATAATGTAGGGTCTGGCTCGATAATCTACTCTTCGCTCCCAAATATCGCTCATAACAAGGGTGGGTTAGGGTTTTTGTAACAAGAAGTCTGTTGGTCTTCAACGACGGGTGGTGTTGTCGCGGAAACAGGGCGTTGGATGATACGGTTCACCATCCCAGAAGGCCTACGGTAGAATGGCACGCAGGGGAGACGGCAGCTAGAACACATGTCAAATGATGGGTCGCAGGAATGCCGAAATGATGACGAAAAATCAAGTTTCGGGTGCACAACGATCTTGCCTAACAATAGCTAGTATGAACTTTGTCAGGTCGTGCGTACAACATCTGCAAATCGCTTAGTGCTCTAAGAGCACCGTTAGAGCGCTTAGCATCGGTAACAGTGCGTGCCGAGCTCTCAAACGATTCAAAAACTGTCTGAAGCGCATGCTGTAATTCGACCGTCTTGCAGATGAACCTACCCTGGGTCCTGACGTATGGATGGCAGTGCACCCGATCAATCTCAATGACTTCAACGGAGGTGTCCTTTAGAGCCAGTTCGGAAACTGGCGTAGAGCATTGCCGAGCATTACCGACTCATGTTGGCTCGCTTGAGTCTAACGGTGCATGCCGAAATTTAGTCGGAGCCATAATCTGTGCTGGGCTGCTGATAGTGATAATCAATCAGCATGTACTACAGTATGTAACCCTACATGTGCCCTCTCAGCCTAGAACAACACCATCATCTGGTAAAGTATATTGCATTGGTCCTCAGCATCATTCTCTGTGCAGTCACACATCTCCTCAAATCAGATCTTGGGCGAGAACCTCAGCCATACCACACCTCCCACCTGTCTGGTGAAGACTGGGTGCTGGAACTGTTATGCCTGAGCACAGTGACTTCTTCAAATGGAATAGGCATGAAGTGCATGAGGGGGAGTCTATGGGCCAAACATGTTGTAACCCCTATGGCTCAGTTATTGCTGAAGTCTGACAGAGGTTCGCTCTTCTGGTGATCCTCTAGGGTAGTCACTTGGAGAGGGAACAAGGATGAAAGCAAAGGGATGAAGCTGAGTTGCGAGCTATGAAAAAACTGAGGATACAAGGTACTATATGTGGGTTTATATACCCCTAAGTATGAGTACCATACCAGTCATGACTAGATGTATCATGATGTGTATCTGCAGTAATCAACAAAACAATCAGTCAAATAAATAAGTCAGAGGGAGTCATATGGTGTCATATGATGGGGGTAGACAAGGGGACAAAGGCCATACTGGCTGCACAGTCAATGTGCAGCAAGGAGCCAGACACTGGAGCTATAGTACAGCATCAGAGCAACATAAACAAGTCAGGAATGAGTCAGAAATGAGTCAGAAAAGTAAGAACATAACATGTTGTCCATCAGAGAGGGCAGTGGAATACTGGATCAAACAGGAGGCATGGTCTTGACAGGTATTGGAAATACCTTGACAGCTGGAGATCTGAAGGAGCCTCACAGCATATGAACCCCTAGGATGGCAATGATTATGAGAGACATGATGAGGCACATGATGCATGTGACCACAAGAAGTTGAAAAAGGAAAGACCCCTGACATGGGTGTAACATCACCCCCCCTCTAAGGTCCTCAGACCCTTGAGGATGGGCCTGGTGTGTTAGTGGGGTGTGAGGAAAGGGGTTGGTGAGTAGTATAAACATGGGAACATGTGTGTGAGGAGACAGGCAATGATGGTGATGGAGTTGGCAGCTCCTTGAGGGCTGGAGTATAGCAGGAGCCATGTCCATTGCAACAGGACCAATGTCCCAAGTAATGATACTGGAAACATGCATGTTGGTAGAGGACATGGTCAGCAGGGACAGGGGACTGGCCACTGAGGTAGAACTGAAGTTGATTGAGAGGGATGGGGATGATGGGAGTTGCAGGGAGAGGGTTGGTGGCATGGACTGCATTATGATAGTGTTTATGGATCCCAGCCCATGATGCATCCTGCAAGAGTACCTCCCAAGCAGAGTTGTGAGTCCCAGTCCCAAGATGAGTACCAACCTCTTTATAAAGATCACTGGAACTGATGTAAGTCAATTCTAATGCCTTCCACTTGTCATTCCTCTTCTGCTTCTCCTGTTTCTCCTTGTGGGAAACCAATGGTTCCTCTTGTTTTGGGTGAATATGGTCAAGAAGCTGAGAAGCAGGAGGGGCAAGGAACTCGCCAATCTGTTGATGGAGAAGGTGGTGATAGGCACCACCAGTAACAGCTTCTAGAAGCTCCAACGATCCTTGCTCAAGCATGTTGACCATTATCACTTCCAACAGGGCAGTGGTGCCACTGAGTTTCTGGGTACAGATCTTTGAGACAGCTTTGTTGATTATGTTTGTCACTCTGTAGATCTCAGACAGCACCCCAAAATACTTAACTTGTTCTGGTGTGCACCTGTCAATGTGGTCCCTGTTGTTGAAGAGGTCAAGTGCCCTAACAACATCCAAGTAGTCAGTTGCTGAGACTGGTAGTCTAGGTTTGTCATCCCTGGCAAGGGCTGTGGTGGCAAGGAGGTTGAGGGCTGCATGTTGCATGCCATCAGAGTAGGTGATGAAGGTGGTGCATAGGTGGGGAGATTTGGGAGCATTGGTGGGCCCAGCCTTGGCTGCTTGACTATCAGCATCATCATCAGTTTGTGCCTTACCCTTACCCTTTCCCTGCTGGTTACTGTCCCCATCATGGAGGGCTCTGGCCTTGGGGGTGGGGACCCTCTTAACCAAGAAGGATGCATGTGGATGCAGTCAGAGAGGGCAGGTGACAGGGGGTGATGTCACATGGGGCTGTGAGATGGGGGATGAGGGGTATGAGTCAGAAAGGCTGGCAGCAGTCATTGGAGGTGAGGTTGGGGCATAGATAGTGATGGGAGGGATGAAGAGGTCATCCTGGTTGGCTGTGGGGTCATAAACAGATTCTGTGAGGGGGAGGTTGGCATAGTCATTCTCAGTGTTGACAGAGTGGGGGGAATCCATCAGTTTCAAAGGTGACAGGCAAGCTTGTACTGGTCAAGGGCCTCCAAAGTGTGGTCCTTTATATGTTCTTCCAGTTCCCAAGTATTGGATGAATGCAGGAAACCTTTCCACTTGACCAAATATTTTTGTTTACCCCTGCACCCATCAACCTTGTGATTGATTATTGATTTGACCTCCCATTCAATTTCATCATCTACAAGCTCCAGAAGCAGTGCAGGTGGAGCTCAACCATACATGTCATTTTCCTGGTAAGAATAGATTTGAGAGGCATGGAACACAGGATGTACCTTCCAGGTCGAAGGAAGCTCCAGGTGGAAGGCCACCAGAGAAACAACCTGAGTCACCTTGAATGGCCCAAGCCTTCTGGGCACAATCTTGTTGCACTGGTTCTTGATGTGCAAGTGCCCAGTATCCAGGAGTACTTGATCTCTGACCTTGGGCAGCATGTAGGATCCTTTTGAGCATGAATGCATGAGATCCTGTGCTTTCTTGTGAGCAAGAATGGTGATATCATGACTTGAGGCCAGTCTTTCTAATCTTTCATCAACCGAGGGGACTGCAGTTAGCCAAACTTCTGGGTAGGGGGACAGGTCATATCCCAAGAGCAATGAGAAAGGTGTCATTTGATGGACCAAATGGATATGAGAGTTATGCACAAACTTGGCAGACAGGAGTTTGGTGGCCCATGAGTTAGGGGCTTCTGCACAATAGAGATGTAAGTATCCCTCCACTTCCTGGTTTACCCTTTTGCTTTCTCTGTTAGTCTGGGAATGATACCTGGTTGAGAGCCTTGGTTTTACCCCTATTGCCTTGTAAAGTTCTTTGGTAAATGTGGAGGTGAACTGTGGTCCATGATTGGAGATTACTGACTCAGGGACACCAAAGTGAGAATAGATGTACTGATGGAAGAGTCAGGTGATCCTGATGGAGTCAATTGTTTTGTGACACAGAACAAACAGGGTGGCCATTGAAAGGCCCTGATTGACAACTGTGAGAACAGAATCATACTTCTGTTCCCCTGAGATTGGGAGATCCATGATGAGATCCATAGATATTTGTTGAAATGGAAACATGGTCTTGGGTGTATCATATGGAGTAATGGGTGGTGTTGGCAGGTGAGTCACCACTTTAGTGGTCTGGCATGTTGGACACCTTGCCACATAGGCCCATATATCTTTTCCCATACCTTCCCACCATATTTCCTTTTGCATCTTCATGAACATCACTTTTTGTCCAGGGTGCCCTGCTGACTCATGATCATGATATGAGTGCATGCAATGGCAGCAATCTTCAGGAGGAATATAAAGACGTGTCATTCCAAACTGTTTTGT